CATCGCATCCACCTGAGCTTGGCCTAGCAACCGAGCTGAGCGAATAGACGACTATTATACAATCCCAAGCCCCGGCTCACCACCAGCCGGTCGTCACTGTTCCCTGTCCCAAGGCTAACTGGACGGACAAAGTGAAATTTGACTTTGGCCACGGCCAAGACGTCTCAGTTGCTGCCATGCCTATTCTGGTCAATCAAGTCCAGTAGGTATGGCTTATGGAAAGGCAGTGCATTCCAATAATTCAACTACCCATTTTCTCTTTATCCCTTTGACAGGTTGCCCCAAGGCCTACTTGAAAGCAAGTCATCTGAGGGCCCACTTTCGTGTGCATACCGGTAAGTGAAGTGCTTTCGGAAATCACATGCACACACTCAAACATGTCAACACGCATAGACTAGTGCACAAAAACGGGCATGTGAGCATATGCCTACACATACACGCAGACATGCAGATATACAGATTTTGCAAAATCATGATACAAAATTACAATTTCTTGATTTTTTCAGTCATTTACTCGATTTGACCAGTAGTTTTAATAGTTGTTGCCTTGATGTTTAGTGAAAGTACGTGACGAAAGGCTTTGAAGGCTGATCCCGCCAGAAGACGGTAGTAGACTTATTTTGTCCAATTGTCTATTGTCTTTACTCGGACATTGTTGCCGACTCTGATTTCGCGGTTGTCTACTTGAATTTCAGTAAAAACGTACTAACTTCTCGTCTTGTCAGAGAAAGGTATTATTCTTAGAACCATATTCAAATTAACCAGTCAAGAAGACTCGTCAGTTTATCCCCACATTCTTTGCATATATCCCAAATCTATTCATCTTGGGGGGGTATTAAAGTGTTCATTTCCACGCGTATATACGAAACCGGCAGTGATAGCTCAAAATAATTAGAACAGGACGCAGCATCTGTCTTTGAACATCAAATTTCAATACTCCCTTTTTCTATCCATCACTCCAATTGCCTAGTGTTGGAAAGGTTTATTTAAGTTGGTGAGGTTTTAGACTGTGTGAGACACAAACTGTGGGCTAATACGCATAGAAGGTGCGATCGTGGTTAGAATGGTTATCAACAGAGTCACCTTTGTCCAACCGGCCCAGCACCCCCTATTTCTAAGTTTGCCATTTAAGCATGTGTAGTTCTTACCTTTATCTGTATTCCTACCATTTGGGGTATGGCCGAATCCTGAATAAGAACTGTGCTCACTCTATTTCATTTGGAAATTTCATTCAAGTCTAGCCGTGATAAGAAGTTCTATGGAGACATTAATCCTACTCCCCTGATTTTGGGACAATTCAACTACCAGTGCTTCATCATCTTAAACGAGAAACGGTGAACACAATTCTTATTCAAAATCAAAGCCTACCAGAGAACGAAAATATTGCCGAATCTGCTTATTTGATGGCTTAGCTGTACATGCAAACGATGGGTTGGAAATGATTCTACATTTTGTCCCATTTCTGCCATGCATTCCGTTAACTATGATTTTTTTAACCCAACCGCTCCTATAAAACCTTTTATCCCCAGCTTGAATATGATTGTCTGCTCTGAGAATTTTCATCCTCTTACGGACGAAAGCTTGGCACGGTTTCATTGGACGGCATCAACAAGAATGTTCTAGCAGACTTTTCGACTTCACTTATCGCCTTGACGAGTTGCAGTCTGGTGCTAATAACGGCAAGGTTGACTGACGATGCCGTCGAAACGTTTGGGAATGTACCATTCCCACGGTCCGACTAGAAATTATCATGCATACTGTGAAGTCCAGACAATGTGCACTTATCCAAGTCATTTTGACAATAAGACCAAGCTGCTAAAACGAGATCAAACAACCTCTATGCTACGAACGGAGACAATGGTCACACCAGCTTGGTCTTTATACCTTCGATTAGATATGCAGCCTGTAGGGACAAATCGGTGGGCTCTTTCGACTCGTCAGGTTGTAAGAAGGATTGCCTGCTCTCATGATTGCCATCCTGTGAGTGACTAAAGTCTAGCATCTTTGCATCGGAACCGAAGGAGATTGTCTCCGAGATAGCGTCAACACGTATCTTCCGGTAAAGATGACCAACAACTAGTCCACATGAGTCTTTCGCATCCTGATTGGACCGACTTCCGATTCACTTACGTATTTTCACTAAAAATGCATGTCAACAATTGTGAACAGAAAGATTCCTTGAAGGCCAGCTCTATCTCTCGTAGATTTTTAGTGACTTAGGTTTTTATCCGTTAGGAACGACAGCCCTGCAAGACCGCATTACGACTTGCAGGCTAACTTGGAACGACAACCAGCCTGCTAGAACCGCTTACAGAATTAGTTGGATGACTTATCAACTTGTTTTCAACCGCTTTGGCAGGTATCAGGAAGAGTTCAGAAAGTGCACTTGTAAATAAACACCGAACCCCACACAAAGTTGGTCGGGCTTGTAGATGGGAATTTAGTTAGGAAAACTGCGCCCTGAGAGGTGAATCCGTGATTTGTCTGCAACTATCACGCATAATCGTTTTAGTAAGATAATTTAGCCTAGAAACCACACCCATAGAGTAGTATTGCCTCCTCCCTTGTGAGCAATCTAGTCATCATATTCAAGCCTAAATGTATGTTTATTCGGTGGTAGTTCTTAAAGAAATCTTGATGTGTTCAGCTTGACTGCATTTTGACGTCAAAAGTTTATTCAGTTGAAGCGTGAGTTAATCATATGGATAGATCTACTAACGGGGCGTTGTACAAGCTGGTTCGGTTCTTATTGAAACATATGTGAAAGGACATTTGTATATAAGGTATGGTGTCTTCTCGGTTTGTCAACAGCGGCAGTCTAGCCTCGTCATTGATGTGTATCCGGCCGTGGTGGGTGGAGCTATTTGGAGTTGGAGTTATGATGCCTTGGTTCAGGTCAATTGCTCCATATTCTGTATTGAAACGGTTTTTTCCAGCTCATATTAAGTTGGTTAGGAGAAAAGGCATCGAGGGACGCGATGAGACCGGTTCCGCTAGTTAACTCTTTTGTATTACCTCCCCTTGAGCTTGGCGAAAAGCACACATCCAATGTTTACTCCGTCCGTTGCCAAGCCGTTTCGAGTAGTCGCGACCATACACTGATACCATGGCGTCTACATTTGTGTGGAGCAAGAGGTATTGCAGTATAGGTGTTATGCTTTGCCAGCGTTTACACGAGCTCGACACGACGTTAGGGGGTCGGTGGCACTGTCGACTATTCTATCTTTACACTACTACCCTATTCGATGGTTGTCGGTCTGTTTGGCCGGTCTTGA